CTCTGAGACAGTTACGTAAACTTCTTTATTCCTGAACTCTTTGTAATATGTTGGAGTATGAATATGGAAACTTCTGTATGTTGCTCTATTCTGTACACACGGCGTCTATGTCCTGTCTGATCAGGCCCCTCCTCTATTTTCCTCCCCCGCTGTAGCCAAGTGCTGCAAAGGGGGATTTGTTGGGTTTTCCTTCTATAATAATAATAATAAGGTCTAGACCTGACTTTGTAAAGAGCCCTGAGATTTGGCGCTATACAAATAAAACTGAATTGAATTTATTAATGACGTCTCCATCTGTACATTGTGATCATCAGGGACTTTCACCTCCTTAAGGTCTACAGAGGTAAACACTGTTTAAGTGACCAACACTTAGCTGGATTCTCAACTTCTTGATTCTGTCTGAATCCCAAACAGCAACAACATATTGATCCTGTTGAATGTAATACACATGGCATTACAGCAGGTTCAGCTTAACGTCTGTTTGTACTGTCACAGCCGCAGCACGGCGGATCTTCCTATGGTTCTGTTCTAGTGTCAAACAGGAACAACGTTTTTAAATGACTCAAAGTAGCTCAAAGTTTCTTTGTTTTGTTCTCAGATTAGACACTATTTTAAAGCCCAACCCGTCACATCACCTGTGTGTCACGCCTGCAGTGTGTGTGCTCTTCCACGGCGCCACATATGCCGGCCTGGCATGAAGCGAAGCTGGCTGCCAACCATATTTGGGCGTAACGGGCGCGAATCCAGCAGACTAATTTGGGTCTGGCTGGGACGACGCAGTTATTATTTTCCTCTAGACCATCAGGCAGAGGACACACAGCCATCTGCTGCACACACACGTCTCAATTAGATCGCTAAGAGGGCAGCTGCAAGCATCGCCTGGCCCGTAAATGGACACACATGCAAACACACCAAAATATTTATATGTACATGAACACACACATCACGATGCGTTGCTGGATCGACAGGGTGTTACAAAGAGACACAAAGCACGACTCTGTCCACCTGCTTCCTATGAATGAATAAGCACATGAAGACCAAACAAGCCAGAAGGCTGACACAGTATATATGACAAAGTTGTAACCTTGGTGCCGTTCTGAGCAGACCGCTTGGTCTTTGGAAATAACAACACACTCGCCCGGTGCATCATTAGGTTCCCCTGTGCAACGGAGTCCAACCCAGAACAGCAGCCTCCTATAACATCTGTGAAGCCTGTTTCAGTTTTTGGTGAAGCTGTGGGAAACGTATGAATTTATCAATGAGACACTGAAAACTGTGACCTCAATCATAAACACATGACATACAATTAATAAATATCTGACAATTGCACCAAAAACATAATTTGGAGACATAATGAGCTTCATACGGACAGATGTTATGGGCTGCATTCAGTCATACAGGTGTTGGGGGGTGTATACAGCATGCCCGATTAACACATGTAGTGACACCACAGGCCTGGAAACTAACAGGTCACGTTTGGCTGGATACAAAAATACAGTACAGCTGATTTTCCTTTAAACAACTAGACTAACTGGGATGGAAGTATCTAGTTGTCAGTCACACATCAATGCCCCTAGTCCAGCAGAAGGAAGTGTACGATCACATCCCATTCAGAGACACGCTGAGACCTATCTGCACTCCCGAATACGTTTTCACTGCAGTCAGACACACCTCCGTGATTCTCAGCGTATGTCAGGTTTGTCTTTGGTTTCCCTGTCTGATTGCTGACTAAAACAAGAAACGCCACAGGGTGACACAGAGGACGAGGACGCACACAGAAGGCAGAGCTGCCCAGAACTAGAAGCTAAAAAACTGCAAAAGTCACAGGCTTCACCAAATCAGTGCACAACCAGATGCATGCCAACAGTGACTAAGCTACAGTGAAAGTGCCATTGTAGACTCGCTCCCACACGAGGCACTAGAGCTTCTACCTGTGTCTGTTTTATCAGAAACCGATCCGTTAGATCTGGTTGTTAAAGGATAAGGCTGGTCACTTTCTGTATTAACAGGGTCTTCATCACTCTCCATACAGAAACTGAAACCAGCAGTGATTAGCCAGCCCTGGATCTGGTTTATCTGTGCCATAGACCTCAGTTGTTATTCAAAAACAATTAAAAACACATCAGGGACACACAGGCTGCAGTGGGTGACAGGGTTCCTCATTACAAAACAGGAGATTTGTTAAGACTATCCAGAGATCTCGTGCATGGGCAGTTGAGTCTTGCTTACTTTAGACGCTGTGGCTGTTCACACCCTTTGGGGCAACATTTTTAAAATATATTACACATATTCTTTCCTGGTTCAGTAACAGCTCCAACTCTAAACAAATGCACATGTCAATGAAGAGGGGTCACAGTGCAAATGGCATTTATGACAGTGATGTAAAAGTGAATTAGGCTCAGCAACGACACAGCTAAAGTACTGATCGCTGCACGCTGGAGCTTTAAGTTGGCTCAGTTTGAAGAGTCAGTTCTCATTTGACAAAGTTGATTCCACTAAATCCCTGTATCATGCGTTACAGTGCACACACTGGTTCACATTTTAAGCTATTTTCAAGAGAAAATTGCCAATAAATAACCGATTGGAGCTCTCTCTCGCCCTCCGTGACAGGCAGCCATAACAAACTCCAGCTCATCAACTTTTACTGCAAAGAATTAAAATTCAAAATCGAAAAGGAAGTCAAAAAAAAGAAGAAGAGTGTGTGTTGGAGTTGGGGCAGGGAGGACTTTAACTTTACTCAGCGGCCGTATTTAATTACAGCTCTGCTCTTTGTTAATGACTCTGTTAACGACCTGTTTGATTGGCCGGCCACGTCCGCCATCTCCCCAACGAGGCGGTGAAGAGACGACTTAAACTGGTAAATCCTCTTTATACATAAATCTGCCTACAGATAGGTTCAGCGGCGGCCACCGACTGAGAAAATTCATAACCTCGTCAATTTGTCAAAAGGCTTAAAATCCCCCCCTCCACCCCCCCACCACCCAGCCATTTTTCCTGCACACCGCGATCTAATTAAAGTTGAAAAATACTTAGCGATATATTTTCCTTCTTTAAAAAATGAAGATGAGAGAAGGGCAGTGATTAAAGGAGGAAAGAAGAGCAATTAAGAGGATGGAGGCTGACGAACTCTGTGTACACATGTAGGATTACAGGGTGAGACTCGTACAAGGTAAAGACAAGCTCGATCTCTCTCTCTCTCTCTCTCTTTCTTTTTTAATCGGCGTGCCACTTCTTCAGCAGCTGATAAAAGCTGAGAGAACAAGATAACCAGCTCGGCGGAGCTGCTGCCAAAGCGTAAGGGACCCGATTTGACAGTTAATCAATTATTTGATAGAAATCATCAATCAATCTTGGTGGGGGAATTAATCCAAGGGGGGGAGGGGGAAAGAGACACAGTGACAGAGGGGAGTGATGTGCCATCCTCTTTAATTTGGTAAACTGATTGGCCTTTTTTCCTCATTCCCATATCAGAGAGCTTCCTGTATCTAATTCACAGAGACAAGGAGCTGAGAGAGAGACCTAATGCATATTATGGCAGACACAGTAAATATGAGCTCCTTTTGAGAAAACAATGCTCAGCTTCCATTCACTGAAGCGTGGACCTCTGTAGATCGTGTTGTCAGAGACAGAAGTGGCATTCATCACTAAATTATCATAATCCTAAGTAGTAGCTGTGTGTTGTAACCTCAGCAGCCGGTACATCACACTGTGATCTCCTACAGTCACTGTAGGAGGAGACAGAGGCCGGCGCTGCTCGGGAGTCGAGTCTGAAGTCACTGAACTGGAGTCCAAGTCAGGTCTGGAAGGTTTCCAACATAATATTACAGTACATGTGAAGCAGTTTCAGTGAAATCTCTCATTTAGCATCAGGACTGTTTTCATATTCTAAGACAAGCCACCACCCACTACAAAACCTAGTACTGAAAGTTGAAACCTTTGTGGTTTTAATAAGGTTAATTAATGATTCATTTATTTTTTAGCATCAGAAAAACTACAGCTCCCACGATCGCTCTGCAGCATGGCGGCGCACATATTATACGTCACTGTTATCTACTAGTCTCTGCAGTCCGAGTTCCACAGCGTTAACTGTATGTTAGCTGTGCTCTACATGTCCTGACTCTTTCAGCTCTTTTTGTATCATCTTTAAGAAACACACCGACATGTAGTGAAAGTCTCAACATGCTGTGTTCCGAGGCCTGACTTTTAGTTACTAGCCAGATCAGAAACCGCAGTAGGATTCTGAATGGGACTTTCTTTCTTTCAGAAGACAACCCAGTCTATTTGTGTTCATGAAAACACAAGTGAAGTGATAAAAAGGGAAATGCAATGTTTGCAGCTCTTTTAATTCAGCAACACACAGCTTGTCAATACCGACTTATTAGAGGCGCCAAGGTTGATGTGCCGACCTTCAGGATGGACGCCTGTCTCTATTAACAGGAGCTGGTGGAGAGTGAACCAATTGAGACACATAACTCGTTACCAAGCTGACAAAGTACAATGAAGTGTCCCTGACACACACACACGCGGCAATAAAATATGCATCGTCGCTCGCTGCACAAATCAACAACCGTCCGACGAGCTGATGAGATTTTAAATGAGCCTTAATTTGTTGGGAATTGTCTTTGGTAATGATAGGAGAGAGACAGACAGAGAGAGAGACAGTCAGAGGAAGAAAGTGAGAGGAGAAGACTGGAGAATTTACAAGAACCCAGTAAGGAACCAAAACAACGTGACTGCGCTGTGAGAAGAGCGCCGTGCGCTTCTGTACAGTAAACACAGGGACATATATGTGTCAGGGGGGGTCTGTCAGGGGGTAGGACTGGATAAGTCTGACTTCTTCCTACTCCATTCAAGCATGTACTAGGTATAAGCACATTGATATGGGATTAGCATTTGTTGGATATGTGTAAAATTATGTGTGTTGACATATCAACTGTCTTTACATGCTTGAAAGAATAAATCAAATCAAATCAAATATATAGACAGACAGGTGCACTTACCTGTGACAGCCCCAGGTAGATGGAGACGGTCTCAGAGATGTAGAGGAAGCGTCCCTCCTTGTTTAGTGCAAATACAAACCCATCCAGAGACTGAAAACAGACAAAGACACAGAGGAGAGAGGTGGAGTGTTAGTCACTTCAGAAAAATGTTTGGAAAACTGATGTTCCAGCGGCTGCAGGACCTCGTTGGTGCTGCTGCTGCTGCACCTCACTGAGAGCTGTCGCTGTCACTTGGCTGAGCCTCACCGATACAATGAGGAAGACGAAATAAAGGAGAGATAGTTATCTGACCTTCATCTACAACTGAATTTTACTCAGACAAAAAATGATACGCATTTCTGCAAGCATTGATGGTAATCATTCTGTGGTGATCAGGACCAAACACATGTACTACTACTTCTAATACCTAGTACCAGACATGAGCCTGTAACACCAGAACTAAGCCTTACACACACACTTCCGCTCTGGGTTATGGTTGACAGCACCCATAAATGGACTGGCACTAAAACTGCATGGTTAGGTTTAGGAAAAGATCATGGCTTCAGTTAAAACACTCATCAATTAAAGACACAACAGTTCACCTCGCTCCTCTGGGAACGTCCGGTGATGTGTGACCCGTTCCTTCACTCCGAGTCCAGGCTGCTCCATATACACTGTAGTTTTGTCTAATAAGAAATGTCACAGCGTCAAATGACATGAGTATTCTCGCTGTGACTTGGACGAGTTGTATGACAAACATTGTTGCCACAGAATCTTTAACTGTATCACGACCGAATGAATCTCACACACGATATCGTGCATGGAGTCCCACCCCTACAATCTGCTAACGTCAGGGGTATCACTGTGACACCGATTAACTACATAACACAGGCTGTACGAATCAAACCGATACGCCAAGGGTCACTAATAATGTTTTCTGTTATGAGTAAACGAGCGATCCTATTGGTCAGCGTCACCCCAACACGTTGGAGAAGTAGAATTCTGACACGCTAGACTTTGTGTCACCCCAGATACTGTCCTTTACTATGACACTACATGAAATAAAGCACTCGGGTGTCGAATCCCATTTTCAGTCATGGCGCCCTGTGGTTATTGGGTCGGGCTGTTATCAGGCTTCAATCTTGCAGCCTGAACCTGGCACTACCCTGGTTAAATTTCAAAAAGCCACTTCCTGATGCAAACTTTCTTTAGGTACTGTATATACTATGTCACTGTACTTGACAGAGCGCCAGTCTTTGACGCCCTGGGATGAGAACAGTGTTGACAAACACCAACACAGTGACGTGTCCTACAGTAGTACTGCAGTAGTACACAGCAAGTCTTTGTCCTCTGTATTGGAAAAGTAAGTGTCTACTCTGCACACACACACACACACACACACACACACACACACACACCTGAGTGTGTCTAATGGCGTATTTATGTGAAGATCACGGCAGAACACTCGACTCAGCAACTAATCTCACACACACACACTCATGCAGGTCCGAGTGTGTCTAATGCTGTCGTTATGTGAAGATCATGGCAGAACAATCGTCTCCACACACTGATTCAGATACACACACACACACACACACACAAGGGCACTAATACACTGGAGGTCAGGCAGGTTAATTACATGTGGTTCTCGACTGCTGCTACTCGTACACACCAGGCCCGTGTGTGTGTTTTAGCCTGAGACGCTACATATGTAGGTGTGACTGTCTCTCAGTAACATTAACTGTCTGCATGTGAGAGAGGGGGGGGGGATTGTAGTTTTCTTTTTTTCCTCTTGTCAGCAGCGCTGAGTACACTGTGCAGTAATGTGAGCACACACACAGGCAGAGCTTTGTCAAAGCTGCATCTGTTTGTGGTCATGTCAGTAAACAATGTTTATAAAGGTGTAGAAAGGACAGAAACATGAAGATGAAACTATCTTCATATATGGAGATTTTCCCTTTGGACAAACAAGGCTGATCGGCTGCGTGCTGCTCTGCAAAGCCCACACATAAAACATAAACATGAGGAGAGAACAGCGCTCCATGTTTGACTTTGACCGTTACGTCGATACCTGGTTTGACCGAATGTGCAGCAGTCGACTCAACGGGCACCGTGGGACTGGACACCTGGAGACATGGCATGTGATTTTCACACACTTCTCTCTATTTGGTGCTGACCTCTAACCTCTCGTCCCTGGCTAGTCACACCCATATATGATGCACTGTGTTTGAGTGTGTTAGTGTGTGTTTGTGTGCGCTGTGGACGGTTGCTGCCAGTGTCCGTTTAGCCTGCCCTGTCACATAATGGAATGCTAATGAGATGTTAATCGTCGGTGAGCCTCATCAATGTCCATCCATGCTGGTTTGCTCGTTAACACACAGGCTGACTCACTCTCTGAGTGTGTGCATGTGGGTCTCAGTGTGCACATATGTAGCTTTGCACTTCGTTTCTATTTGCATAGAGACATGTTTGTGAGTGTGCTGTCAGGTTCGGGTCCAGATTGTTGCTCTCCAGGCTGTTGCCCTTCACACTAAATGTCCTCTAACAAGTCGATTATCTTCAGACATAGAAATGCTAACTAGCTTAGCATCACATGTTACACCAAGCATTCTGAAACCTACGGTAGGCTAACCAGTGCTAGCATGGTGGCGATTTCACTCACACAAATTATCCATTTGATTCCAGTAAAATCCGATGGATACATTGAAACCAAATGTAAAGGTCGTGCACGTGAACAGTCCAGCACATCTGAGGGTTGCACTGTGGATGAGACAGACCCTTTCTTCAGCTTGTCTTCACTCTATCGTCTCATGTGGCGTCTCTGAAGCTGGCATAGCCCTGTGATGTAGTTACACTGTAATCTCAGGTGACTACAGTCAGGAATACCTCGTGATGTCAACCTGCATTTTCCTCTATTTTTCCATATTTTCCTTGATCCTGCTCCGGTTTCTTGGAATACTGTGACACAACCACTAATCCTCGGTAGGTCATGGTTCATTTCTTGCTCCTTTAGAGTAGCATAACAGTGTAAAAGGTTGAGATGGTAAAATAATCACAATCTGTGTTTTACATTTTACAGTTTTTTCATCTTGTCTGATTGAGGTTCAGGTTTAGCAACAAGCAGCTCCAGGTGATGGGAAGCAAATCTGCCTGTTTCGGAGGGATTAAAACGGATTAATTAGAAGTGGAAGGTGAGTAGAAAGGTGGAAGCGTGTGTGTAAATTATGTTGATATGATGCTGATGTAAACACAGTCTCACACACACACACACACACACACACACACACGCGGTAAACAAACATAACCCTGCCGACTGCTTCGTTAAGTCCCAGGCTCCCTCCCAGAGGTTAAACAGGCCTCAGATTATTAGAGCCGTGACTCACACCAAACACTGTTTTCTGCTGCGTGTTTGCCTTTTCTGCCTCTTTTAGTTCACACCAGGGTTTATGTACAAGGTCGGCAGGGTCTGGAAAGGTCAGTGAAAGGTTGCAAGATGCACAAAGGTCGGTGTAACACTCAGAAAACAACATTCAACCCTCAGTAACTGACATTTTCTGCAGGAGCAGCTACCTTTAAAACATTCTCTTTAAAGGAAAACAGCCAGTACATCACCGATACACCTAAAGCTGCATTTTCTATTCTAACGGCAACTGCTTTTAATTTTGTTAGAAGATGTGCAGCAACGTTTGTAGTCGAGTGTGTCTGGGATTATTTTAATCGTGGATATTTTCTACTACACAGTGCTAGTGACAAACAACACCTGCTCTGAACATCTTCCACTACACATTAAACAGATACCCAACAAAACCAACGCCCCAAAACTAAACTGGAACTAAAACATGCACAGAGACAAACTGGGAATTGTATTTCTGCTGTTTAATGTTGATATGTCCTAACAAACTAAACAACATTTGACCTGCTAACTGTGCGATCTCTACTCGGATGTCAACACAGAGGGGACAGACACACAACAGACCACAGGCGTGAACTCCTGGACTCATCAGATCCAAACTAGTCCAAGATGGATCTGAGCCCAGTCTGAGCCAAGTTCCAATTCCCCAGTTGAAACTTCTTGTTGGTCCTGGGACCAAGTCAAACCTGATCCAAGCCAGACCCGAGCACGATCTCGACTGCAAAATAGCACAGCCTCTGCTCACATGCACAGTCTTTGTTAACATGAAAGGGACAGAAAGAATACCAGACAACATCCATACTGCACTGGCCTGAGATACTAGACCTAGCCTGACCAAGGCCAGAACCAAACCTGATCCAAGCTGGGCCTAAACTGAACCCAGTGCCCTTGTCTATTGCAGTGTTTCCACTGGTAACAATTCTCAGTTTTCGATCCAGCATCATTGAATGACGCACCTCAGGGAGTCACCAGTAAAACAACAGGCCGGGTCACAGGTCGCGTCTTTGGATGCAACAGATGAAATGTCTCATGTCTTCAGGTCTATTTCCTGTGGTCATGTCCACACGCTGCTGTTTACATCACCTACATCGCCGGTTGTTTTCTGTGGCAAAACATTTTACTGGTGTCTGTTATGATTACGTGCACAAGGCCTACATGAAAACTATTGTTGTCCAGCACATTATTGCTGTGGGCCGGACCGGTGCAGACCATCTGTGACAGCAGCTCTGACGCTGAACGTCAGATGTCTTGCGCTCAGTCGGGCTGTGGTTATGCTGCGGAGTGAAGCGTCGACCAAAGAAAAAAACTGTCAGTGAAAAATAACTAGCCTATATTAATTGGTATAGTTAGTGTTAGTTCACCTTCACAGAGAGAACACAGACACACACCCAAACCCCCAGTCGCACCCCCCCTCCTGCCACTCAATGGGACACTGCCGCCTCGCCAGACCTCGTGACCCACAGGACACTGTTGCGCCGTCCTCCCCACATTGCCTATGACGATACCACACAGGACTGAGACTGTGCATCTGGTCCAACCCCAGCTCAGAGGCTGATCTGAGTCCAGTCCAAACTGGATCCAAAGGACAAACAAACATAAAACCAAACCCAGTCTCAAGGTGCACACACACAACGCGCTCCGGCCCTGCAGCTGAAGAAAACAGTGTGACCAGTGCAACACGTAGAAACAGTGGAAACCA